GAGAAGGGTGGTCCCAGTTCCCTTCGTTGGGAACAGAATTGGGCTGCCGTCTGCACTATGGGGGCGGGAAATAAAGCCCTCGCCCATGACCCCTGACCCCCATCCAAGTCCCGATACCTCCAGAAACCCGAAAGGCTTTCGCCACAGCGGCGACACGGCGATGCGTACAAACCTTTGGAAGGCGACTTGCGGGTCTGCCTGACAGCTGAGCGGATCCGGGGGCGAACGGCGGCCTACGCTGGCGCCGTACTCGGGCGGCAGCAGCGGCGACGCCCTCAGCTGCTCCGCCAGGGCCATCACAAAGCGCCACGCCAGGCCGCTAGCGGGCTCCTCTCGCCGGCAGAAGTGCCGGGCCAAGCAGCGGGACGCCAACCCGGACGCTCGCCCGGCCTCGGAGTCGGGCCGCACCACCTCCGCGCACAGCGCCGTTTTACCGGCGCCCGGGCCACCCGTGACCAGGACCCCCGTCGGACGCCCCGGCCCCGCGCGGCGGGCGTCCAGGCAGCGCCGCAGCTCGTCCAGTGCCCATTCCCGGCAAAAGAAGCGCCGACCGTGCAGGAGACCGGGGTCGCTCATGACGCCATCGCTCCTCGCGCGCTTCCTGCTCGCTTCCTGTTGCCTTCCCACTCACTTCCTGTCAGCCGAGCGAGGGAGAGCAAAGGAAGGGTCAAGTCACGACAGGACGCGGGGGACGGCCGGCTGCGAGACCGTCCGTGTGGAGCTCCGCTTTGGAATACGACACTTGCACACAAACACCTCCCGGCGTTCTGGTTTTTCAAGTTTTCCCCTCGGCCGGCGCTTGCACGCGCCGCACGTGTCGCCGCACGTTTGAGCGTGGAGCCAGGCGTGGACACGCACGCCCAATAGTAAGACGGGTGTGCCAAACACTGAGGTTGTCGCTGACAAATCGTGGAAGAAGATGTGTGGGAATAGCGAGACGGGCAGTGCCAAATAGGTCAACGGGGGCGTGTCCAAATTGGAAGACAAGTTGTGACACCAAATATTCCTCCATCCTATTTTTGCCCACAAATATCTCAACGTCGGTGTGATTGGAGAAAGCGGGTCAACAACATTTGGGGATGGCTTTTGATGGCCAAAATAACCATCTGCAGTATTTGGTGTGACGATCAGTGACGGACGCCATCTCACCAGAACAGCTCTTCGGATGTGACTGGCAGTTCACGCGTTATCCTCGTCATATTTCCGAGATTGTCGTCGCTACCCGAGGAATTCTAGAGCGATGGGTTCCTGCTGAGCTCCCTTCCCCACTGGCAACAGTCGATGACTTGAAATCTAAAATGGTGCCTCGCTCCCCTCTGCAGGGACTTTGCTTCATGACAACTCTTCGAGCGCTCGCAATTTCAAGCAGCGCATCGAAGGCTGATCGCCACCTCTCATTGGGGGGGCAAACTGAATGTTTTGATCCTACCGAAAAACTCCAGTTGTTCCTGGCATTCGTTGAGTTCGCTCGGTACCAAATCATGAGACGGTGGAGGGCTTGATGGAAACAGGCGAGGCCGAATGAAGACACTGGCAGTGCCAGCAACGGATCCATGCGTGTCCAATAGTGAGCAAAGCCTTGCCAAATAGTGCAACCGATGTGTCCAAAGAGTGAGACGAGCGGTGTCGACGAGTGAAAATGTGTGTTCAATAATGAGCCAAATAGTGAGAGAGCCCGCGCCGAATCATGAAACGATGGGTCTGAATCGCGAGAGGTGCTGCAAAATAGTGAGCTAGGAGATATTCGCTCGACTTCAAGTTGTGCAGCCAAAGGAAAAAGTTGACATGCTAAACTTTTGCAACTCGTGCGATTTTGGAACATGAATGCCGATCGGTTCCCGGCATCGGGTGCAGTCCTCGGTCCTTCGTGTGCGGAAAGTCACTCGGCCACCGGCGTGCCAAGGAACACAAGCACTCGCCATGCCACGCCGGGAGAGGACACCGATTTGTTGACATTCTTGCCATTTCTCATGTTGACGGCGACGAGTCAAAGATGCTGGCGGCAAACGTCACTTCCTGTTGGATCGCATCCATCGGCCGGCAAAAGGGTACAGCTCACTATTTGGCACCGCCACTCTCTTTTTGTGTCACCCTGCCAGTCTCACGATTGGACAGCGACTGTCACCGTTTGGCAGGGGGCCCCCCGACTACTGCGCGCCGTGGATGAAGCTTTGCCTTTCTCACTCCGATACTTGTTTCTCGCCACTAGGCGCAAGCGCAGCAGATGGAATCGCGCTTGTTTCACGAAGTGCCATTGCCTCTTCCACGACCGCACATGCCCGTTCCACGGGCGCGTCCCACGACGGGACAGCATTTGGAAGTGAGCAAGTTGTTTCGGCAGTTGCTAGGGTTACGACGCGGGTTGAATTCGCGCGATGAGACACGCTTTGGGCGGATGTGGTCGGGAGATGACGTCACATGCCGTCCCGACAATGAAAAGTTGATTTGGGTTTGACCGCCGCCGTGATGAAATCGGTGCCGATCCTGCAGCCCCGTCGCCGCCG